TATGCACGCAAGTGTGTGAAATATTTAATTGAACGAGGCTTGGGAGCTAATTAGACGACGCTGGTGTTTTCTTAATTGGAGCTGCGACAGATTAGACCTTGAGAGAGAACGCGCAGATTGGAGCTACTTCGAGAGCAGCTCCAAGCTTTGCTGCTGATTGGAGAAATTTTACATTCATTTCATCTAAAAGGAAATAATTGTATAAAAAGAATAATCTGATTATAAATTTTCTTTTTCCGATTCCTTTTCATTTTATAAAAGATGTAAAATTTTCTGTTACTCTCGTAGAAGTCCGCAATCAACAAATTATCACGTCGTGCAATTTAAATTAAAAAAAGAAAGATAATCAAATATACTCCATCAATATGATTGGTATTTCCTCAGTGAAAACTCGATAAATGGAAGAAAGTTAAAAAAAAACCGTGTTTAGCTTTCCGAAAATTATGTGCCAAATTTGAATTTCATTGAATTTAGTTTGTACAAATTTTGAATGTATTGAACATTAATTAACTTTTCCGGGAAGAATCCATAAAATCAATCAATTTTTTCCTCAAAAGAACATCAATGATTAATTTAAATTAGCGAAAATTTTAATTAAAAAAGGGCGCGCTTTGTAATAACTAGAATATTTTTTTTTAAGGATACTCATTAAAATATAAAAATTTGAATAAGCTTTAATACGAGCTTTGAATTTTGTGCCTAAGTTGGAAACAATTATTCGCCTCTGCCATGGCAAAAATGAGGTTGAATGAAAATTTCCTGTGTTCTTCCTCTGTATTTTGTGCCACGCTTCAGGCAGAGTGGCGCACGCTTTCAAAGTTTAACAGCAGATATGTGACTAACTATATTAAATTCAGACAGAGCAGAGATGTGTGTGTGTGCAACTACTGTTGCCGTCGAGAGCACCGCTTGCTCGAATTCGCCGCTAAATTGAAACAGCACCGACGGCGTGCTCTCTCATATACATGCACAGTCTACTTTCGCAAAATGTATATCGCTGCAAAGATGAGACGGCTGTGAGCCGCAACGCTGCTTTTTATATGCATCAAATTTAATAGCTAAAACCAGCTTACTTGCTGGCGAAGTGGAGAGAAGCACTCAATTGTGTAATTGGGATCTTCATCCGGCGTGCACAGAGTTTTAAGTAAATTGCAAAAGATTTTTCATACTTGACATCCTTTCCGCATAGTTTTGATATTTCTTCAACTTTAAAATGTAATTCCGTGGCTTTCTCGTGAGACTAACATGGATCATAATTTAAATTGAGGTTTTCAGTAGTGTCTTAAAAATTATTAAGGAAAAATTACTGTAGTGAATCTTTCATTGTAAAAGGTTTAAATTTTTTTTTAATTATCTCTGTTTGCTCTCATCAAAATTAAAAAAAAAGTTAAAAAAATGTTTTTTAATAAATTTCAACATAATATTTAGCCTTTTAATATTAAAAAAATTCTTAATCCTTAATTATTTTAGCCATTTTTTTTATAAAGCGACATTTTTTTAGCATAAGAACAAGACTTTTTTTTGGAAAAATCCCTTTTTTTTAAATAATTCTCATTATTAAAAATCAAACTAAAGCAAATGATGGGAAGCCAGATGGTTGCAAAAAAGTAATTTATATTCACATTTTGGTACAAAATTTTCTCCTTACCAGAAAAATTAATAATTAACAAGTTTATCAAAAACACATTCATGAAGTATTTTGGTTCAATCGATTGTAAACGTTTGACCTTTAGCCTGAAATATAACTTTTGCAGCGGACGTTTTCTTGCAAACATGCATTATTCGTGCCCTTTTCAACTCTGCCGTGCGTCCAAAAGCCGCGCAACAGATTTGCACGCCCTTTGTCGACTCTTGTTTGTCAGTCAAGTTGTTGCCGTCGCTTGCCGTGTGTCGCTTGCTTTATCCGCCGAGCCGTCCTCGCCGCACCCCGAACGTAAAGCTGATGAGATTTTTGAGCATTCCTCCAGGGCTGCACGCAAGTTAAACTCTCTCTTCTCCACATGTGCTATGCAAATGAATATTTCCATGCACGAAACTTTGCAGCAGAAACAAATACCGAAAGAAGAGATCTCTTGAGCGGCTCAAAGTCGCTCTTGAGTCGACATCGATTTTTCAATTAGCCGCGAAATGCCGACGGAGCAGCGAATTTCTGAGTGTTGCGCTCAAAGCTCCCCTTTCTTTCTTTGTTCTCGTGCGGAGAATTTTGTCATAAACAAAAGAAAAGAGAGTGGGCCTGCGTTTCGTCCCGTATGAATTTTTAATGTGAGCATTAACGCGCTCGCCTCCCTCGCGCCTGTGAAATGAAACGTGCTAAACAAGAATGTCTTTTTTTGGATAAAATATTATATTAAAATTCACCAGATAAGTGCAGAATTTTCCGTTGGAGCTGGAATTGAATTAAAAGAATATTTTCGTTCAATAATTTCAAACGCATCTTGTTGAGTGATTCCACTCGTTTTGGTCGCAATATGTATTTCTGCAGAGCCCGAGGACGTCGAATGCGTGTGTCAAAGGAAAAAAAATAATTCCATGGTGCAACATCAAAGGCTCAGATTCCACGTATCATCCACTCTCTCGCTCCGCAGCAATCTTTTTCCTTCTCTCTTTTTATTTTAATATTTGCCTTTGGTGTGCAAACTAAAAAGCAAAGATGTAATCTCATTACGATCTCATGCATTTCAAATTCGCTTTCAAAATCAAAGCTAGCCGAGTGCTGCTTTCTCCTGAGCAAATATCGCATGAGACTCTTTTCTCTTTGGCTCCGACTGCTTCTCCACCGGGAGAGACGGCGATCTGTTGCGTCCTGGGAATAGTTTAGTGGGGTGTGCCACTTTATTTCGTGGAAATCGTCTTTTATAAGGTTGACGGTTGAATAAGTTGAATATTGGTGTAGAATTTAAGAATAAATGGCTGCCAAAATACTGACATAATTAATGATATTAAAGGGATGTTTATTAATCCAACATTCTTAATAATATAATTATAAAATTCTTATTTTTACATTTACATAATACAAATCTAGCGTTTGGTTTTATAAATCAATTTTTAGTGATAAATTAAAGAAAAAATGGCTTACAATTTAATGTAATTTAAGTACTTTTCATCCTAGCAAAGCACATTTTTCTTTCATCTCTACTCCATATCTTCAGAAGGTTGATGCCAGTTTTTTTTCTCCCAATCTTCATTCGTTTCAATCATAAAGTAGCTCCATATTTCCTAGCAATAATCTCGGGGAAATGAAAAAATTGACAAAAAGAGAACTCTGAAACCATTTGAATGTGATTTACTGTAAAGATAATAAGATAAACAATTGATCAAGTCAGCAATAGCTTTGGGTAAAAATCAATCAGATCAAGAACAAAGGTAACCAAATAACATGAAATAAAAGTTAAAATAAAATTTAAAAACCATCCACTGTTTCCTTTACAAATTTTATATGCCTAGACTTTCAATATTAATTTCAAGAATTAATTTTTTCCTATCTTAAGAGTCTTAACATTTCCATCCTCCTAAATCATAAAATCTAAAAATGGCAAATCTCTTCAATGAAAATTGTGTATGTATTTTAAACGTAGATGTGAGGCGAAAAATCTTTATATAATGTTTTAAAGGTGCCAAAATTACTTTTTGTGTGTGTTCGAAAACGCGAATAAATTGTTTCTGGAGAACTTTTGGTGCGAAGCGCAGACTGTGATTGTTCCGAGGCAATTTCAGGCTGCCCCAGTTTCCATGTAGCCACTTTACCGGTCTTTTGGCGCAAGGGGGAAATGCGGCGAGGCCAACTACTGCAGGAGGGATTGATGGAAAATGCAAACCAGATAAAAAGCTGCCTTCGCACACACACGCGCTCGTCATCCCCGTTGAAAGCGCAGGGGGTAAAATACACCTTGACAGTGATAAGAGGTCCAATAAACGGCGCAGCTCCACTCTCGTGCTCTCGTGTAATATGACGTGTCTGACGGTGTCAAATATCGCTGCTCTCTCCATCCCTGCCCGTTCGCCCGCCGCCTTCTGATCATCCCGACTGACAAGAATTTTAATCAGCCGGCAAACGCCCGAAAGGGATATCCCGGGCACACAAACCCTAACGAAATCAGACAGAGCGCTGACCACTGTGGAATGCAATGTGTCCAAATCCTTGACAGGTCACACGGCCACCGGTCTTGAAACATTGAAATGAAACCGAAATGGACTGAAAGTTGTTTTCTCGCGAGCTTTCGATTGGAGCTGAAAGGTCAAATTTTAAATATTCATTGCAGGAAATTCCAAAATCATTTGGCAAAAATCTGAATTATGCTGAACTAAAAGTATGTTCTTTGGAAATACAAATCCCATAATTAGATGTTAGTAAATGTTAATTAAAAAAATTAACTTGTAAAATTTGGAAAACCATAACAAATATAAATTTCCGATAATTTTTTTTTTGTGGGAATGCAAAGTTAATTTTTTTAATTAGTTATTTCCGCTACTAGTGGTTGTCTGAATTCAATTTGTATTCATTAAATAGTAGAAAGTCTTAATTCAAATAACTTTGAAAATCAACTATTTCCTATAAAAGGGCATCTAACAATAAATTATATAAATTTAAAGATGACAACAGAGAGATAGAATCATTTTCGGGAAATTTGCATTCAAATGTGATTTCATTAATTACTAAATGAAATATGGAAAATATTAAAAAAATAGAATAGTCATATTATAAATATGCACATAATTAATAGACGTAAATCTGCTAAAATATTAGTGAAGAACTAAAAAATAACTATGAAAATTCAGAATATCTACCTACAGATATCTAAAGTTACAAAAAAAATTCAATTTTCTTTCGCAGAAGAACTACTTAGTTAATATTCTGCTTAATATTAAGCTATAAAATGTTTGCTTACCAATAAGAGAACTACAGTTTTAAAAATAAATAGAAAAAATTTATTTGCAGTGCTCATCTGAGAACAGAAGCCTTTTTAAATAATTGTTTTTACTTGCTACACTAACTGGCAAAACTAACATTTAATTAAGGCACTATCCATGAGGTTTCTAGAAAAGTCCACGATGTCGTCCCAGTAGTACCACATCAAAACCAGAACGATGATTAGAGTAACTGTGGTGCCGCCGAAAACCGCAGTTTTGACCAGGTCGAAATAATTCCCACCCTCTCCCTCTGCAAGCCAGGCCGTTACACACAAAGCTCCTCATGCAATAATAAGCCTCACCGCACATGTTGTCGAATGTCTTTGGGTCGCACAGATCAAAATAGTGGTCAGTGAAGTATACGTTGTCGCACGGATCCCCGCTGTTCTTGAAATTGATTTCCTCGGTGGAGCACAGGCCTGGGTAAAGAGTAGAGTGGTTGCTGCACGCAGGCTTGCCCGTTTCGTAAACGGAAGGAATCGGATTGTCGTTTCCGAATTCGTCTTGTGCTGGCGCAATCCTAGGTACAATTAAATTTGTAAATAAATCAATGTTTATTTCAAATTTTAATCCAAATTTAAGGAACCTCTCGAATTCAAATTATTATCCTTGAATTAGAAAAAAAAAACTCCAATTGAAGTTGAAATATTTATGAAAATTTGAACTGCATTAGAGGTTAATCAAAAGAGCTCCTTTTTCTCGCCAAAAGCATTTAAATCTTGAACTAGCTTTTGTGGAAAAATTTAGTGGTTTGGCTATTAAGATTTAAAATTTATTGGGAGAGGATTTTTTGTTAGACATTTTAATTGTTTTAGAATTTTTGTCATTTTGTTTAAATTACAGAAGAATTATCACATTCTGTAAAATATACAAATTTAACAATGAAATAGGAGAGAAAAAACTTTGTAGCTATCAAAAGGAACAATTTTTGTGGATGAGAATCTGCGCATAATTAATTCAACTTGGTAGAAACTTACCCAGGCCCGTAGAAGCAAACGAGATAAGAGTTCTGCAGCGTGGTTGGGTCGGCGTGAAAGTCCTCATTGATGTACTCGACGTGCCCGCACCCGATGTACCGCGTCTCCGCCCAAATGACCTGCAATTATGTAAGGTCGTCGCCCTTCAACATTTAAGAGAATTGTCTGTGCATACCGTCGCGAAGCTATTTTCCAGAGCGTGCTGAAGGATGTCAAAGTAGCGGGTGACGAGGCTCGGGGTGAACTTGTGGTGGCAAACGTTCGGCTTGTAAATGGCGTTCATGAAGAACTGTCTGATGTGCACCGGCAGCTCCATGTGCGACTCACTGTGGTAGACGGACGAGTCCAACCGGTTTATGTCAAATCTGTCTGAAACAAAAATAAATAATATAATATATAATTATAAATTTTTTAAAATTATTTATACATTTAATTTTAAGTCGGATATTTCAAAGAGATATTTTTGTTTAAAATAGAAGTAATTAAATCATTAAATTATTAAATAATTATATTTAATTTTTAAATGCTAAGTTAATTGTTATTTGCTGTCTATATTTTTTTGCATTATAAAATTGAAGTTTTTATGAAAATGTGTAAACAAAATTTAATAAATTTTAAATTCATCACAAAACACATAAGTTAAATATGACAGTTTGGAATCGTAACTGATTATGTGTCTACGGCACAATGTCCCTAAAATTTGTGTAGGAAAATCAGCATTATTGTTAATAATTAAAAATAATTTTAAAATTCAATCATATTTGCGGATAACTAGGAGGAAAAGTTTCACATGGTCCACGTACCGTTCAAGTACAAAGTATAATCGACCGTTTTGTCCGGATTCTTGCATTGCTCTGCGTACCTCTGAGCCAAATCTGCCAAGTGCTGGTCCCAGACCTGCAACAAAAAACGGACCTTTATAACTTTCCTTTGGCCAACCAATTTGGCAGGCGGACGAACGATTTGATTCATGTTTTTGGCCGGGGAAAGCAGACTATTTGCTCGGCCGGTGGCGACCAACTGCCGCAGTTTGTTGTGCACGTGGACGATCGCCAGTATCTCCAACGGCGACAGAGTCGAACTTGCTGCGAAATCCGATCAACGGAATAAATTATTATTATTTCACGTGTGGTTTTCATCGGCACTTGCCAAGAATGCGGTGGTTCTTTATGCAAGCGTTCGCCGTCAGGCACAACGCGCGGCTCCGGTCCGATGCTGATTTCAACTCGCAGTTTTCCGAACTGGCAATGCCACCGACCGGAGATGAAAGCAAAAAAATCGGGGAAGCGAGAAAGAGAAAAAGTAGCTTGAAATCCATGCTTTTCGAAGAGCATTGTTTGCTTACAAAAGCAGCAAAGCCCAAGAGCAAAAATTACAACAATGAGACTGAATGCAACAATTTTATCATAATTATCCCATTGTTTGAAGCACCTTAAATGGCTTCAACAATCTAAATTTTTCTCAGTCTTCTCAAAATTTAATACAAATAATACAATGAATAAAAAATTAGAATGAACATTTTTTAACAGGCTGAAATTATGATGCTCATTGAATGCCTCGAACCTGGAGAGTTATTAAAAAAAAAATGATAAGCAGAATTTGATTATTATTCACGAACACAAAAGTCCACCCCAAAAACTGCTATAGAGCAAAAATTTCATTGAACAACCAGAAAATTCTATAATACAGTTTTTTGTATACAAATTTGGCAGAACTTTGAACATCTATAGATAATTAAATAGCAAAATGTTTTTTGTTTTTTTTTTTTGCTTTTCAAAAAATTCCTAATCTTTGATGATTCTTTGCATTCCAACATTTATAACTACTTGAGGAAAATTAAATAAATTTACTATCTTTTTTTCAAGTCCTGCATATTTAAGTGATGATTATGAACCGTGGAAATTTTTCAGAAAGAGTGCTAAAAGTTTTTTATTTCAATTTACTTAATTTTGGATTACCTTCGAATAGAAAGTATTTTCAAATAATTTTAATGAAAATTCTCGATTGATAAGAAATTTTAAGAAGAAAATTGACGCACGTTGAAAATTTATTCTCTGCGAGCCGTTTTACGGCCTGCGGAGAAAAGTTTACGGTGCTCATTTTAGCACCGAGAAAACGCGAAATTAAATTTTCAATATCGTGCTCATCTGAAAGCTCGCACTCTCGTTCCTCGCTCACATCCCTTTGTCTGACGGCGCCTTTATTATTTTTATTATCATTACGGCCATGATGAAGGCAACAGTAAACACACAATGAAAAACAACCCCGTGCCATGTTATACGACGCGGCGTCGACGAGAGACGAGCCAAAGAGGAGCGCAACTGCCTACCTGCCGTGTCTTAATAAAAATTTCACGTCGGCCCCTCGCTGGCAGCGACCTCTGCTCTCATAAAAGCTAAATTTGCACACATTGGTGGTGCGCGGCAGTAAAAATGTTTTGCTCTCATTACTATTTTAATTAGCCGGCGGCGCTGGTTGGCGAAATTATTTCAATATTTCACTCGGCGGACTCGCCACCGCAACAATAAAAGTAATAATCGCAAGCGTATGTATGCATTCCAATTTCCAGGGCTAACCCTTTCATCCGCCGGGGCACACTCGGCGCTGCCGCACCCTTTCATAATTCACGCTTTGTCTCGTGAAAATTTGATTCACTTTGCAGTTGCAGAACGCTGCGAGCGGGCGAGCGCCTAACTAAGCGCACGAGCGCGCAGAAATGAAAGGGAAATTTTTAAGAGCACGAGGCAGCGGCTGACGCGAGTTTCGTACTTAACAAGGGCGGACGTCGCGCAATTTTGAGCGTCGAGAGCACGCTGCAAACAAGCACTCAAAATTCTTACTCGAGTGCGTCATACTGACGTGCAGAACAAAAGTAGTAGCCTCTCTCCTCCTTTCCTTTCAAATTATTATTTCATACGCTTTTTTAAATTTAAGAAAAGGTAAACTTCCACGCTGTTAATTATTTAAGTTGTTTACTAATTTACTTTAAGATTAAAGGGGCCTGCTGGATTTTATTATTTTATGTTAGAATTTTAAGCATTAATTTTATAAAGCCTTATGAAGAAGTGGCAACTAGAATTTTAGAAAAAAAATTTAAAATCAAGAGAAATCTTGTCATAGTTAGCCACTCAAGAGTGTTTTAATATTCTTTTTTCAATAGTCACTCTAAATCAAAAATAAAAATTAACATTATCTTGTCACAATTTTTTTTTTATGTTTTAATATTTTAAATTTTCCTACACATTAAAGAAATTTAATAAATCAAAAACATAAAATAAAATTTAAGCTTAACGTTTTAAATGCAATTGAAGAAAATCCGCCTTTGCTATAATTATATATTAAATAAATAATAAATAACCATAAATTGCATTGTGTGCAGAAATTAATTTATAATTAGCTTGATCGCTTGCGAAACAACTGCAGTGCATAATTGTAAACTGTATGCAATTAGCTTTCACCAGCCGTGTTTGGACTTGAGGGTGTTATCAAAACACACCAACAAATTATATCCCTCTCACACACACATGTGCAGGGTATAATAATATGATAATGGCGAACACGGTGGTCGGGTTACACGTGCATGCATAAAGCACGTGTTCCTCTCGCTGTAATGTTTGCTGCATTCGGCGGGTGTTGGTTTTCCTTCTCGGATCCAACAAATGTTGATTTTCCCAGAAATGTTTACTTGATGGTTTATTAACGACAAACATTGCATTCGTTATCAAAAGCTGCCGGGCGTAATTTGGTTGGCAGATCCAACTTTGCAGCGTGCGCTGCATCCTGCTTTGTGTAGAACGTGATTAAATTTTGGAATTTCTAGAGGCGCACGTCGGCGTGCTCTTTAAAGACTTACGATTATTAATAATACAATTGAAAATTCTTTAAGTAAAAGTTAATTTTTTTTTTATTTTGAGATGTTTATAATAATTATTAATTAATTTATTTCCTTTCAAGGATGTAACGGTAACCTAAAATTGATAAATTTTGAGGTGGTTAAAAAGTACTGAATGATATGCGCGCATATAACCTTTAACTTTCTTCCAAATAGAAAATTTGGCGACAATATCAAGAATAAAAATGGCTCTTTGGATAATTTTAATTCTTATTGTCATGACTTAAATTATTCTTACAATTAGTGCTTTCAACTCTTTCAAGTTGCTAAATATTTGTAATATCTCTAATTTTAAATATTTATTTTAATCTGTTTTCAAAAAAAAAAAAATTAAAGGAAAATGAGAGATATTTTCCAGTTTCCATTTAAATTCACTCAAAATTTTTATTAATTTTGCCCCCCCCCCCCCCCCCCGTTAACTATGTATTTGGTAGATTAATATATTCAAAAATAAATGTACTTTGAATCTCAATATCTCATCAAAATTTTCAATATTATATAAATTTGTATTTTTTTTTCTAACCTTTAATAAATAATTAATAACGAATATCTAATATTTAGTTTGAGAACTTTAATTTGCCAACACCGCCCTAATTTATCATTTTAAATATTTTCAAAAGCAAAATGCAGCACAACTCGAAGAGTTTCGTGCCAGGAAACGTTATAGTTGGGAGGCATGCAAGTGACGGATGGCAGCGAGTTAAAAATCAGAGCGTTCGCCACTTTGGCCAAATTGCACGCGGGGCTCTCCGAGCTCCACTCTGCGGCTCCGCAAGATGGAACGCAAAAACTCCAGGGGCCTAAATTATTTGCAGGACCGTAGATCTGCGAGTGATGGAAGCTGCGGCGGCGGGCGGGTGAGTAAGTGAGGGGTGGAAATTTGTCTCCGGAGCGTGATTTGCACGCACTCAGCGCAATCAGATCGTGCGCGGCTGGCCTGGGCAAAGAAAGAAAGAAAGGAAAAAGACACATGGCCTCTCTCGTTGCGAGTGGAAATAATAGCCGGGTGTGTAACAGGCTCGTAATCATCGCGAGCGGCGCTGTTTGTTTTCCGCAGCACGCCTGCGAGCGTGTGTTAGGCAACACGCATTACCGCTACAAGTTCTCCATCTTTTGCCCCTCTATAACTTTCTCCATTGTTATCCGCGCTCCTTCATCAACTTGCCTCTCCCCGCGATATTTTATTTTCACTTTCTTCTTGTTTAGCCGCAGCGCGTGTGTGTTTATTTGTCGGTTTTCCTTGTTCCCTCTCTCATTCTTCTCTTATTTTCCCGAACCGCTGGCTGGGTGATTGCAATAAGTTTTCCCCAACATTTGAACGCACCATATAATAGACTCCGGCACTCCTTCTTACTTCCTCCCAATTGCAGTTCGAATCAATCTCTCCGCAGCCTCTTGAAACTTCTTTTTGTTCTGCCGGTATGTTATTGCGGGTATTCGAATACAAAGCCGATTTCGCATTCACCGAGCGCCGCAAACTCATTATTCCTCGCGAGCAGATTTCCGCAAACTCAGACCAAAGTGCTCCCCTGCCTTCTAGCGAGGTTTGTACACAGCAGGTAAATTTTGTTTGCGTTCTGCTCCGCTGCGAAATGAGCTCGATAATATTATCCGTCTCTCTGTGCGTGGAAACAAATATTTAGTCGGATCATCAGCGAAACGTTGGGTTTGTGTTTAGGTTTTTTTTTCAAACGTTGCTCTGAGCTGGTATATTGAAATGGGAGAAGTTGATTTGCGGCGTTGGACTTGTTTGGATTCCAAACAGATCGAGCAGTGCAAGAACAAATTGCTCTTTTTAATATGTATATTACTTTTCATCTTTTTTTTATAAGCAGCTCTTTTTCATCATGTATTTTGAAATGGAAGTGGAAAGGGATAAAATAAACGAAAACGAATTTGAATTCTATTTCAGGCAGAAAAAGAATAGTGAAATTTTAATCAAATTCAGCAGATTTTTACACATATGAGCAATAAAAAATTATCAAACAAAAAGCTAAATTGATTG